CGGCTCTTCAGCTCTCTGCCCTTGAAATCTTCGAAGAATGAGAGACCTCGCAGTTTGAAAAGTATCTCTCGGTAAGAAAAAAAACAGGTCCGCTGTTTGCTTTTCAGCCTCCGCCTCTCCCACTGGTCTTGTTATTTTCTCCTTTTTGGAATGTTTGTTAACCTCAAACTCCTGCTGTAAGATAACATTTAGTTTGGTTGCAGCCTTCCCAGCGGTTAAATGGCTCAGCATAATTATCCAGCTGTGCGATATGAACATGTGAATTTAATTTTACACAAATATATATTATTTTACACATTCTGTCCTTGTGACCTGGGTATTTCGCTGATGCCTTTCATTCAAGCTCTTTGAGAACGCTTTGCAGGCAGATGTACGGATAAAGAGATAGAATGTATAGCTTTAGAATAATCAGCTTGTTATCTCTAGAGATTTCAGGAATGTACATATCTGAAGAAGAATTTTAATGTAAGAACAATACATATTTATGTCATATAACTATGTATGAAATTATGTTTTCTGTTGGGGCCCCTATTCAAATCAAGTACTATCATGACTTTCAAGCTTTAAGGGACAGAAGTGTGTTCTATACCTGAATGGTGTACGCTCTGACACCTCTTCAATGATGCATATACAGTTTTAGCTTATCGTGTTATGAAGTTATAAAATTTTAGTTCTTTGGGGGGCATTTATGTATTTTTTTAAATATAGGGCTTGAATTTTTCCCCAAATTGAGAAGAAAAAAAGTCAGAGGAATTGAAACATTGACTGTACCACCTTTGCACAAATAAAGGAATTATTGCACAAGACTACAAGCCCTTCGTAATAGCAAGCCCATTTTGGACAAATTGATATTCACGCACATCGTACGGGGGACTCAACCAAAATTACTTTAAATCTTGCAACCTGTTTAGTAGGAAGTTCCTAAGGTCACCTAGGCTGAACTGGGGCTTCCCAGACTTTATCAAAATCTCAGAGCCTGTAAATAGATGTCCCAGTCTCTTTTTAAAATATTGTCTCTCATAGGATTATAGGAGGTCTTAAATGTAAATTGCGAAGTGTTATCATTCCTAAAACAGGAAACCCATGTGCTTGTTCCTTTTTTAATATTAAGTTAATTTGTTGGAAATATGAGTCCATTCCTTGCAATTTCTATATTATTTTCTTTCAGAGAATTTATCATGTATATGAAACTGTCAAAAGCATTTTATGCAGTGTTGGCCGAACGTTTGTGTGATGGGGACTTGTCAGTCAGAGATGGGTCAACCTGTTGGAACGGAGAAGATGTGGTAGAGAGGTAATTGTTTAATAATCTCTTTTTTGTGTATTAAATTTTATTTCTTAAAATAGTGTTCCATGGGCGGCTAACAGTTGTGTCCTCTACACCAGAATTTCTCAATATTTTTCATTCATTTCAGTGTGTAATCCTACCTATAATATGTTAAACGAATGTCATGCACAATGCTGCCGACTTTATAAAAAAGGTATCTTCCTTGTATGATCATAACGAAATTAGTCTTCATGTACCCACTACAGTAACACTGCACCAGGAAATCAGTGAGACTGCTTTGATGGTTTCAAACATAAACCTTCCTACAGACAATCTTTCTATGTACGTTTATTCATTCTTAATTTATGGATCACACACGTTTATTCATTTGACCACATGTTTAACTATAAACATCAGAAAATGAAGTTACTTTTACTCATGTGTTTGAGGGTGAGAGCATAACCTATTTATTCATGCACACACCTTCTCACTTGTACAATCATGGACTCCACCAGTCCTGGTGCATTGTTTCTTCATTTCTCAGTAAGCAGAATATGATGTGTGTCATGCTAAGATGTTTAGGTCAATAGTCATATCAATTACAACTACTTTAGCGTTTGAGAACTAAGTCTTAGATTTATAAATTAAAAATTTACTTACCTAATACATTTCACCAATAACAAAACAAGCAAGAATTAATATGGAGTGCCCAAATAGTCTATTTCAAATAGCTGATAAAGCTTTTACTATGTTTTATATTTTTTTCATTCTTATTCCTGTAAGTGTCATGATCATGTGGCTTTTGTCTGGGGAGGCATGGGTTAACATTTCTCATATCTGTCCTTTTTGTGCAAAGCATATCCGTGCAGAGTGCTGTTCTTACTCATCTCTGCCACCTTATGGAGAAAAAGTGAAATGCAATATTAAATTACTTTTATTCTCTTGTGGTAGACATAAATAGAAGCTTGGTAACAACTGAACTTATTAAAGTTTATTAAAACTGAGAATTAAAAATTAAGCACTAATTAAATGTGCTTATGCAAATCCCACAGTGTGTTTACAAATGTGCCTATCTATATAAAAGACCTAACATTTTGATATGCATCTGCTTTTACAATCAACTACTTGTGCAGCGATAGACTAACGATAAGATATCTGTACATAATTTCAATGACTTAAAGAGTTTCTCCAACAAATAAAATACTCTTTTTGGTTGTAGCAACCCTTGCAGGCATGTCCCCCCTCCCCTTTACCAAATAAAGTAATAAAATGTATCTGCAACCCCATTCCAAGGCCAAGTCTTGGGCAGCAAAGTGCTGTATCTTTGTATGTGCAGCATTTCTTAATAAATCATTACATAGTTACATAGCTGAAAAGAGACTTGCGTCCATCAAGTTAAGCCTTCCTCACATATGTTTTTGCTGTTGATCCAAAAGAAGGCAGAAAACCCAGTCTGAAGCGCTTCCAATTTTGCCACAAACTAGGAAAAAAAAATCCTTCTTGACCACAAAATAGCAGTCAGATGTCTCCTTGGATCAAGCAGCTATTACCCCACTAATTAGAAATTAAATCCCTGTATGTTATGTTTTTGCAAGTATTTATCCAATTTCAGTTTAAACATCTGTATGGACTCTGACAAAACCACCTCTTCAGGCAGAGAATTCCATATCCTTATTGCTCTTACTGTAAAAAAAACCTTTTCTTTGCCTTAGATGAAATCTCCTTTCTTCCAGCCTAAATGTGTGACCTCGTGTCCTATGTATAACCCTGTTTATGAATAGATTTCCAGATAAAGCTTTGTACTTGCCCCTAATATATTTGTATAATGTTATCATATCCCCTCTCAGGCGCCGTTTTTCCAAACTGAACAGATTAAATTTTTTTAACCTTTCTTCATAACTAAAATGCTCCATTCCTTTTATCAATTTTGTAGCTCTTCTCTGGACTTTTTCTAGTGCCATGATATCTCTCTTTAGAACAGGCGCCCAAAATTACACAGCATATTCAAGGTGTGGTCTTACCAGTGATTTATAGAGGCAAAATTATATTTTCATCCCGAGAATTTATGCCCCTATTTATACATGACAAAACCTTACTGGCCTTAGCAACTGCAGATTGACATTGCATATTGCTGCCTAATTTGTTGTCTATAATAATTCCCAAATCCTTTTCGTGTGTGGTTATCCTTAATTCACTACCATTTAGTGTGTAAGTTGCTTGTGCATTCTTAACCCCGAAGTGTATAACTTTGCATTTCTCTACGTTAAATTTCATCTGCCATTTAGTGCCCAGTCCCCCAATCTATCCAAATCCCTCTGCAGCAAAGCAATATCCTGCTCGCATTTGATTACTTTACAAAGTATTGTGTCATCTGCAAACACTGATACATGGCTTTCAATGCCTATTTCAAGATCATTTATAAATATGTTAAATAGAAGTGGTCCCAAAACAGAACCCTGAGGGATACCACTTACCACTTTTGTCCAGCCTGAAAATTTACCATTAATTACAACTCGTTGTATTCTATCCTTAAGCCAATGTTCTACCCAAGAACAAGAATATTCATCTAGACCAATTTCTTTTAGTTTGAAGACTAACCTATTGTGAGGAACCGTATCAAATGCCTTGGCAAAATCCAAGTAGATCACATCCACTGCAACACCCTGATCTATACTTCTACTTACTTCTTTGTAGAATGCAATTAGGTTAGTTTGACATGACCTATGTTTCATAAAACCATGCTGATTATTGCTAATAACAAAGTTCTTCCCAATGAATTCCTGAATATTATCCCTTCAAATAATAGCCCTTCAAATATTTTCCCAGTTACAGAAGTTAAGCTCACAGGTCTATACTTTCCAGGCAAGGATTTTGAACCCTTTTTAAATATAGGAACAACATCTGCATTCCTCCAATCCTCCGGTACAACACCGGAAACAAAAGAATCTTGAAAAATTAAATACAGAGGTTCACTTATTTCCCCACTTAGCTCCTTATTACTCGTGGGTGAATACCGTCAGGCCCCAGAGCTTTATTTACATTAATTTTCTTTAATAGCTGTAACACCTTGTCTCGAGTTATCCAATCACAAGTTATCTGCAAGTTTTTTGCATTAATCATTTGCATATCTCTTACCATAGGATCCTCAATATATACTGAAGAAAAATAGTTATTTCAAATTTCTGCTTTTTCCTGGTCTTCATTAGCTAATAAACCCAACTCTGTTTCCAATGTACCTACACTTTCATTTTTTTGGTTTTTTTTTCATACAGACTCTATGCACCATGACCACTTCAAATCACTGAACGGTCACTGTGAGCTTTCACATGCAATAGATAGGGTAATAAAGTTGCAGCCCCAAAGAGTTATCCCGTCAAATAAATACCAAGAGAGCTATATGTAATTATATATGCCTCTATGCACTTTGATTGACTGGTTGCTAGCTGCCATGCTCACATTACATCTACATTTGTAGTGTCATTCAGTGAACATAAAGTTAATTTCAACTTTAAGGCCAAAGTAGCTGTAAATTAGAGAATTTTTCTGGTTTAGCTCAGGGGCGTATTAGCCGCGAGGCAAACTAGGCATTTGCCTTGGGCGGCATTTTTCAGGGGGCGGCAAAAAACGCCGCCCCCCAAATGCCCATGGCAAATGCCTAGTTAGCCTTGCGGCTAACTGACATCCCGAGCGGGCGGGCGGCGCTGGCAGGCGGGCGGCTGGCGAGGGAGCTCTTCCTCTGAGCTGACTGCTCAGCTCCCTCGCGCACCACAGAGTGAAGCTGGGAGCCAGAAGATGACGTCATATTCCGGCTCCCAGCCTCACTCTGCAGCCGGCGAGGGAGCTGAGCAGAGAGCTCATAGGAAGTGCTCCCTCGCCAGCCGCCCGCCTGCCAGCGCCGCCCGCCCGCTCTGCAGCCACTGGACCATCAGGGAGAGAGACCCCCCCAGCACTCCCAAAGGTAAGGAGGTTGGGGGGGGATTTAAATTTAAAAAAAAGTTAATGTGTGTGTTTGTGTCTGACTGTATTTGTGTCTGTGTCTGTGTTTGTGTCTGACTGTATTTGTGTGTGTGTCTGACTGTGTGTGTTTGTGACTGTGTGTGTTTGTGTCTGACTGTGTCTGACTGTGTGTTTGTGTCTGACTGTGTTTGTGTGTTTGTGAGTGTGTTTGTGTCTGACTGTGTGTGTGTGTGTGACTGTGTGTGTTTGTGTCTGACTGAGTGTGTGTGTCTGTGTGTTTGTGTCTGACTGTGTGTGTGTGTTTTTGTCTGACTGTGTTTGTGAGTGTGTGTGTGTGTGTGTGTGTGTGTGTTTGTGTCTGTGTATGTGTGTGTCTGTGTGTGTGTGGTGTGTGTATGTGTCTGACTGTGTGTGTGTGTGTATTTAGAAGGTGGGGTGGGGGGAAGGGTTGGGTGGGTGTGGCGCGGGGGGAGGGGGGCGCCTGAGTTTTGTCCTGCCTGGTTTGCCTGGTTTAGCTATTTTGACCTTAAATTTTAAATTCACTTTGAATTCTCACTTGAGTGATTAACCCTGATTGTCCCCTGCTCTACTAAAGGAAAACTCCAGCATGAGAAAAATAGTATCAGCCTTAAGTCTATCTAAAACTGCTCTAAACCTCACAGAAACTGTGAAATAAAATAAAATTGATACGTTTTATGTGACCTGACTCATCCCTGTTGGCTATGTGAAGCTGGCACCCCCTGCAATCAGATTTTTTATTTGTGCTGATTGTAGGGGGGCCAGCTTTACTCAGCCATCACTGTTCTATCTGTAGCAAAACAAAAAACTTATAAATGAATATCTTTTTAGTACAATACCCACTTACTGTTCTCGATGCACCTATCCCTGGAAGGCTTTATATCCCCAAGTATCCTGATCCCCTTTGGTGGGATTGAGCACTACATAGGCTTATTGGGCATAAAACACATCAAATAGTTAAATATTTTTCTTTTTCACCTTCAGCTCAGACCCACTGCTGCTTCATTATACATATTCTTCTACATCCCATTATTAGAAATCCCTCATAATTAGAATCCAAGATATTGACAAACAACTAGTATCCAATTTTTTTGGAAAAATCTAACCTGTCCCCTATGAGATTCTGATTCACAAAAATTGAAGATCTGTATTCTAAGGATAAACTGGTATTCAGTGGAAATGATATGTTGCAAACTTGTGCACAAATTTGCCACTCTGGATTTTCATGTCACCTAATGGCCAGTTCTAGAAATGATTGTACTGATAAAATTCTTAGATACTACCGAGTTTAGCTAGGCAACCATCCATTACCCCCACCCCTTTGCCGGAATACTCCCCTAACTTTGTCATTGTCTGTGAAAATCAATTTGTAAAAAGAAAAGTTAAATAAAAAAAATTATGCACTCCAGCAACCACATTCTAAAATATGCCACTTTTTAATGATGCAATAGATTCATGATTTTTGGCCACTTTTTCTGATAGAAAAGTGGCGGAATTTTCCTTGCCAATATAAATTTGTCAGTCCTCTAAAATGGAAATTTCTATGAAACTGACAGAATTTACTATAAAGAAAACCATCACTTTTCATATTTATTTAATAAATACCATTCAACTAGCAATGGAATATAACTGTCAGTTCTCAGAACACTTTGATAAATGCCTAACTTCAAGTTATTTTCATGAATAGGAAAAATGTTTGACCATACAGCAACACCATCAATATTAGAGAGATACAAATGATCTTGACTGAGTTATTCTTAGACTGAAAATGTATAGCGTACAAGGGGCGTTGTCTGTCCCCAGGCAATATGAAAATAAGACTGTGTCCATGTGTTATTAGCTAGGGTCCTTAAGTTAAATAATCCTAATTAACAAGATATGCTATTGCGAATTTAATTCATCAAGTAGGCATTTCAATCTGTAAACCGGTAAAATAAAAAACCGTGGCCAACCACAATCATGACTGTTGGGAGACCTGGTTTATAATTTCATCATTGTGCATCAAAATAACATTGTGCATAGGACAACTTTTGAGACAGTTGTTAAGTTACTTGTATAAAATGAATCCCACATAATATGATTTAGAGAAGATTTTCTAAATAGGCGTAACTTTGAATCTCATTTACCACGTGCATGTCCAGTCAACCAACTTATCTGTAATAAGTGGGTCGGTAGCAAATTGACCTCCCGTATTCCTTTACCTTGTGTCAGGTTGGCAACCAGGAAATGTGTGGTGTCTGTTGGAGATAATAATGAGGCCATTCCACAGAACGGGTATTCCAGAGACTCCCCATCACCCAACAATATACCCTCCTAATTCAATGCCCTGTGTACAGTAGGCTGTGAATACATTTATACCCAAACTCCTGGCACTTGGAGTTGTTCAATATTAAAATAATTTATGTTGCTACTTCCTAAATAAATCTGAGTATAAGTAGAGGGTTTCACAGGTTCAAAACGTTTGCATGTTAAAAAAAAGAAAAAAAGTGAATCATTGCTTTATAAGGAATAACCCCACTTTCACCCCCAAAGAAATGAGGAAACAAAAAAAAGGAAAAAAATATTAAAAGAAAGTAGCATTATATATACGTAATTAAGTCCTGCGCTCAAACTCACACTACTCCTGGACGGCAGCAATGACTATAGTACACATCAGCCCTAATAAATAAAATGGCTTTTTGGTTTGGGTTTTAAAATAATTGATGCATCTGAATACATCTATGAAAACAAAAATGTCTGGATTTAACATAAGGGCATTTGCATCCAATGGTTTAGAATTGTTTGGGCTTTTAAATGTGGTCCATGATAAATAATCCATGTGTGTGTTTTCTCTGTGCAGAATAAAATATGCTGTGTTTCAGGATTTCCTGTTCTGTATTGACCTATATAAACCGCAAAGAAAGCAGTCACACATGAACAAGGGAGCACATCCAGAGTAATATATGCAGAGACGATATATACAGCATTGATTTATAGACTATATTTCAGATATCCCGAGGTTGCAAAGCTGGTCGTTTATCAGGTTTAAACAGTTCTATCTTTCGTTATCAGGCATTCTTGGGTCAGGAGCGGTTTATCACATGTTCAGTTTATGGAATAGCCATAGTATGTATTATGTATCAGTTCAGTAACAGACTGAACACATTTAACACTAGCTCATCATCAGCTGACACTATTTATTGCACAACTCTAGCCCTGTAACACCAATCATGGTTTATCAGATTCTATAACAAAAAAAAAAAAAACCTGATACTAGACCTCATATGAACCTGTCTAAGGAATTACTGGTGTTGGTGGCTGTGAAAACGATGTCTGAAATAGCAGCATTTGATTGGGAAAACTGACAGTATTGGAAAAGTTTATCAAAGTGTTCAGAAAAGCGTGAGGATTCAAAATATGTTACATAGTAATACAATTTACTTAAAAGGGTGTCACACTGCCAAAATAAAATAATTACATTTAAAAATCACTGTTTAGCAGATATACCCCCAATGCAAATATGCATGCATTTAATCAAGGTGGGTATATCTAAAATTAGCATGCCAGAGCTGCAGATCTCTTGTTTGAGGCCTTTGCAAACCCTTATTCTACTAACTCAGCCCAGTGGCGGATCCAGAGCCTGATCTCGGGAGGGGCACTTGTAGATTATTTAAAGAAATAATCCAGACACAATAACCACTACAGCTCAGTGTAGTGGTTATGGTGTCAATAGTGCCGGGACCCCCTCCCACAGTAAGTAGTCAAACCGTTTAAGAACAGTTTGACAACTTACCTGAGATCTGCTGGGAAATGGGGCTGTAGTAGGGCATAGGAGCAGTGGTGTGTGTGAGTGGTGCAATGTGTAAGGGGTGCAGTGTGTGTGTGTGTGTGTGTGTGTGTGTGTGTGTGTGAAGGTTGTAGTGTATGAGTGAGGGCGGCAGTGTATGTCAGGGATGCAGTGTATGTGTGTGTAACAGTTGCAGTGTGTGTGTGTATTGCAGTGTATATGTGAGTGTGGGCTATGTGTATGGGGCAGTGTGTGTGTATGGGGGTACTGTGTGTGTGTATGTATGGGGGGCAGTATGTGTGTGTGGGGGGGCAGTATGAGGGCAGTGTGTGTGTATGGGGGGCAGTGTGTGTATGGGGCAGTGTGTGTGTGTATGGGGCAGTGTGTATGGGGGCAGTATGCGGTGGTGTGTGTGTATGGGGGCAGTGTGTGTGTGTGTGTGTATGGCGTGTGTGTGTGTATGGGGGGGCAGTATGGAGCAGTGTGTGTGTGTATGGGGCAGTATGGGGGGCAGTGTGTGTGTATGGGGGGCAGTATGGGGCAGTGTGTGTGTGTGTATGGGGGGCAGTGTATGTGTGTGTGATAAGGGTAGGGGGGCTTTTTTTTTATAATATATATTTTTATTTAATATAAATAAATATTCTATGTCCCCCCTCCCTTCTTACCTTTACTGGGAGGAGGGGGGACATATTTAGTTCCCTGGTGGTCCCAGTGGGAATCCCTGGTGGTCCCAGTGGTTGGAGTGAACTCTAGCCCGCGCTCCAGGACTAGAGTTCACTCTCGTGAGATTTGGAGCGTTGCCGTGGTAACCGCGGCAACGCTCCAAATCTCGCGAGAGGAGGACCCGGAGGAGCTGCAGACTGAGCTCCCGGGTCCGCTCTCCTCAATCTCCCTCCCCTGCCGGCTGCCAGCACAGTGCCTGCGGACCAAGGAGGGAGATCTCTGATCTCCCCTCCGGTCCGCAGGCAGATTGCAGGGCTAGCACCTGCATGTGCTGGCAGGGGAGAGGGAGACTGTCGGATTTCTCGGGGGGGGCAATTGCCCCGTTGCCCCCCTCCGGATCCGCCACTGACTCAGCCTGGGCTTTCTCTTGCTATCCAATGACAGACTTCCC